CAGTCCTTGGGGGAGGATTTGCCCTGGAGGAGGTGGGAATGGGGGTGGGCTGGGGGTAAGGGGAGGGGGTGGGAGGGGGGAGAATAGGGGAACCCGTGGCTGATATGTAGAACTGAATGGTATTGTAAAATAAAATAAATAAAAATTAAAAAAAAATTAAAGAAAAAATTGGGTGCAGTAGTGTACTTTTACCCCCACCCCCTTTTTAGTACAGGGTCTCTCAGTTGCTCAGGTTAGCCTCGATTCAGAATGTAGTCCAGAATGGTCCCGTACTGGAGGCAATCCTTCTGTCCCAATCAATCTCCCTCCCTCCCCCCCCCCTCGATTGTATTTTTTTCTACCTTTACCGACTGTCATGGGGTAAATCACTGTATCTCAAACAATGTATTTTATTTATAAAATGGGTTGAATAATGCCTGCTACATGGGCCTGCTTTGAGAAGCAAAGCTGTGAGAGAGCTTGGGTTCAAGGATTCGACAAGCCAAGTTTTGGATACTGGTCCGAAGAGGCCATGACAACCGCTCCCGGTGCTTGTCCCACACAGCCTGCTCCTCCTAAATTGTCAGAATGCTCAGATCTCGTCACCCCTACTGCAGTGGGACACAGGGATGAGACGCTGTGCATTTCTAACTGTCAGTCTCAGAAGTTACTCTGGACCAGGACGCCTTAGACGGCCTCATCAACCCGGAACCTGGCAGTCATTGTACCTGCAAGCGGCCGGCAGGAAGAAGAGAAGTGTGACAACAAAGGACTACTTCCGCTTCCGGTGACGCGAGCGCTTTCATTTCTTCGGCTGCGGTGACTAAGATGGAAGCGTTTTGGGAGTCACGGGCTGGCCACTGGGCCGGGGGTCCTGCTCCGGGGCAGTTTTACCGGGTCCCGTCCACTCCCTGCGCCCTCATGGATCCGGCGTCCGCGCTTTGCCAGGGTCCGATCACCCGGACCCAGTGAGTTGCGCGTTAACCGCGCCAGGAATGGGCGGCAGGCCGGGACTTGGGGATCCGCGGCGCGCGGGCGGCAGCACCCGGAGCCCCGGCCGCTGCGCTCAGGGACCCTTTTCATTCTTCAGGAACCCCATGGTGACTGGGACGTCGGTCCTCGGCGTGAAGTTCGACGGCGGAGTGGTTATTGCTGCAGACATGCTGGGCTCCTACGGCTCCCTGGCTCGTTTCCGCAACATCTCTCGTATTATGCGAGTCAACGACAGCACCATGCTGGGGGCTTCGGGAGACTACGCTGACTTCCAGTATCTGAAGCAAGTTCTCGGCCAGATGGTGTAAGTCGCCTCCAAGCGGAGCGGAGTCTTGAGGCTTTGGGGCATTGTTGAGAGTCAAACATATGAATGTGTTTTGAATGCCTTTTGTCCCTGGGGGCGTGTAAAATTGGGTGTAGATCAAGGGTGGGTGGGGAAATTGACTTCCGTTATCATTACTTTCTCAACCAATTGTTTTTAAGGATTGATGAAGAGCTGTTGGGAGATGGACACAGCTATAGCCCTAGAGCTATTCACTCATGGTTGACAAGGGCCATGTACAGCCGCCGCTCCAAGATGAATCCTCTGTGGAACACCATGGTCATTGGAGGCTATGCTGATGGAGAAAGGTATTTAATAACTTCCTTGACCACCTGACCTAGCACCTGCTGAGTGACCTTTTTTGTTTTTTTCGAGACAGGTTTCTCCGTCTCGAAGAAACAGCTATGGCTGTCCTGGAACTCGTTCTGTAGACCAGGCTGGCCTCAAACTCAGAGATCCGCTTGCCTCTAACTTCAGAGCGCTGGAATTAAAGGCATGCGAGAAACACACACACACACACACACCGGCTTTCTTCAGCCTTTTAAAAGAATGTTATTTATTATTTACACTTATTTTTGTATGGGTGCTTCTGTGCTACAGTGTGATGTGTGTGTGTGTTTGTGTGTGTAAGGAGTCTCTTCTACCATGTGGGTTCTAGGGGATCGAACTTGGGTCATTAGGCATGGTGGCAAGTGTCTTTACCCACTGAGCCATGCTGCTTCCCCCACCCATGACTCTATTCCCAGGGAATTCTTTTAATTCAGACCTCATGGTCCCATTCTTTGGCCGAGAAATGTACTAATTAAATGAGTTCTTTGACTTTTGTCCCTCTAGCTTCCTCGGTTATGTGGACATGCTTGGTGTAGCTTATGAAGCCCCGTCACTAGCCACTGGTTATGGTGCGTACTTGGCTCAGGTAAGTAGTGGGTCTGGCCATAGGGAAAAGAGATGAGACAGGCTGGGATCCTAATGTTGGGCGTCTGGTTTTCTCTGTCTGAGAAGAATGTGTTTACATGACCATCCAGTGACAAGATGTGGTGAATGGGAATGACAGCCTTGTTGCAGGGTAGAAGTCCTAGGACTTCCCCTTTAAGAGGATCTGAGCTGGGCATGGTGGTACGCATCTGTAATCCCAGTGCACAGAAGGCCAGGGCCAGTAGGCCAATGTATTCCAGACCAGCTTGGGCTATATAGCAAGACTCCATCTGAAAAACAAGAAAAAAATGGCTCATGGGAAAAGGCACTTGCTGACAGTCAGCCCAGGACCCCCATCGTGGAAACAACTCCTGCAAACTATTTTCTGACTTCCACATGCATATGCGTACACATATACAAAATAAGTGAATAACAAATGAAACAAAGCCAGCACTTAATTCTGTAGAGACAATGGGAAGGCGTCTGTCACTCACCTTGGCGGTTGTTTACATCGGTTGGAGCAGGTTGCCTGTTATGCCAGTGTCTAATTTCTCCCACGTTTTCCCACCTCTTTAGCCTCTACTTCGAGAAGTTCTAGAGAAACAACCAGTGCTGAGTCAGACTGAGGCCCGAGAACTCGTGGAACGCTGCATGCGAGTGCTGTACTACAGAGATGCCCGTTCATACAACCGGGTGAGAAGTGGGCGGAAAAGTACAAATTCTGGGGCCAGGCACACTATCACACACCTTTAATCCCAGCTTCAGGAGGCAGAGCAGGCCGAACTCTGTGAGTTTGAGACCATCTGGGTCTACAGAGTGGGTTCCAGGACAGCCAGAGCTACATAGTGAGGCGCTGTCTTAAAAACCACAAATTCTGTTTCTTCTTGATTGACCTTTGTCCAGACTGGGTATTTTCATTGCATGTCTTGTTTTCTTTCAGTTTCAAATTGCCACCGTAACTGAAAAAGGTGTCGAGATAGAAGGACCACTCTCAGCGGAGACCAACTGGGACATTGCCCACATGATCAGGTAATTTAAAGTGACAGTAGGAAAACAATATGTGGGAGAGTTGGAAAGCCTTTGACTTACACAAAGCTGGGCCCTTCTGGAGTGGTGGTTCTTCCGGGAAGAGCTCCTTCAGAAGCTGATGCTTTTGTGCTTCATTTTTTTTCCCTAAAATATTTTCTTTCTTTTTAGTGGCTTTGAATGAAATACAGAAGAACTGTCTGGAGCTGAAGCTATACCCTTCTATATTTGAATTAGTTGGCTGAAAGGTAGACTTTTGTAAAATAAATCAGTCTTTGAAGTGTTTGTTGAGTTGTTTTAATGGGATCTCACTATGTAGCCCAGGCTGGCGTAGAACTCAGAAATCTGCCTGACTCTGCCTCCCAAATGCTGGAGTTAAAAGCTTGTACTACCATACCTGGTGGCTGTTTTTATTCTAAGAGGGTCCCAACCAAGAGCTCAGTCCCCTTTCCTGGACAGAGATTCATTTAGCTCCTGTGTGCATGCTTAGAGGTTGATGTCAGAAGTCTTCCTCAGTCATCCTCCACCTTAGTTTTTTTTGACATAATTCTTAGGAACCTGAGCTTATCAATTCAACTAGGCTGACTGGCCAGCAGGCCCTGGGATCCTGTCTCCACCTCCCTAGCACTGGGATTTAAATGTGCACGCCACAGCACTTGGGTGCTCAGGGCTGAACTTGTGCTTGGGTGGCAAGCACTGGCCAGCCATTTCCTTAGTCCTTCACTGTGTCTGAGGTGGACCTCAGCCTCCCGAGTGAGGGATGATTATAAGCACTCGTGGTGAGGGGGCATTCAGGCTCTTTTAGCAAGCAAGGATTCTCTGCATGACAATAAAGAAGACCCCAGACAGTATTCACTTGGGATCGTCTTAGAGCTAGCTTCTTATAGGGTAAACTGGTTCTTTGGTAACACAGTTAGCTTACACATATACAATATTCTCTTCATTTTCTCCCATGCACTATATTCTAAAATGTAGATTTTGGGGACAGGGGCATGGTGGTGGTTGATGGCTGCAAATGTGACTGGTTAAAATGCAATTTCACCGACAGGCACGTGGTATGTGGCAGAGCAACTGTGTATGGTGGCACTCAGGCCCTCAGCCACCAGAGATAGGCAGTCAGGAGATGCTACGCACATTTAACTAATGTTTGTCTACAATTCTAGCACTTGGTACTTTGAAGAGCATTTGTGTTTATTAAAAAATCCTAAATGGGGGCCGGAGAGGTGACTCAGCATAAGAGCAGGTAGTAGTACTCTCGCAGAAGACCTGACCTGAGTTTGAGTCCCAGCACCCATGGATGTGGCTCACACCTGCTCTAACTCCAGCTCCAAGGGAGAACCACTGACTGCATCCCGTGAGCAACCGCACTGTGTGCACATACCCACACACATACAAGTAAATGCAAGCATTTCATCAAAGTCCTCAGTGGAGCTGGGAACACGGCTCGGTTGCTGAAGCAGTAGTTCTTGTGTGAAGACCTAATCTGAGTCCCCTAAACCTATGGGAAGCTGGGTGGAGCAGCCCAAATCTGTACTCCCAGGTCCTACAGGGAGATGGGGGGCAGAGGCAGGAGGGGCCTGTAAGCTTGAGAGCCAGGGAGCCTGGCCCAGGAAGCAGAAAAGCTGTCTCAATTAGGGTGGAGAGTGAGGACACCCAGAGTTTTCATCATACTCCACACTTGTGCCTGCATCCACACATGAATGCACACACAGCCCTAGGACATAGGCCTGAAGACCTGAGTTTAGTGCCCAGATCCCACAAGATGGCAGCAGAGTCAAGAGTTGTCTTGACCTTCATGTGCATGTTGTAATAGGATGTAGTGCCTACATAAAAATGTATTTTAAGTGGTTGGGAATTAGCCATGTTCTATCCCTTGATTTTTAAAAATTAAAATCGTAGGTCTTCTGCACGACGCTCTCCAGACCCTTTGAGTGGTATAGACAGCAGCAGATAGGTTCACACAAAGGAAATCCTGAGCCTTCAATCTAGAACTTGGACATACTTGATCTCAACACAGAAAGTTGTCAATAAATACATGTTTATTGATTAAACTGAATTATAAAAAAAACAAAAAAAAAATTCCTTCTACCACTAAGCCATGCAGGCAGAGTCCACAAAGACAATTTGCTTGCCAAAACCCAGCCGACCCACTGTTACCATGATCTTAAAAAAATAAAAATAAAAAATAAAAAAAATAATCACCCAAAGTCAATGTGCAGAGGCCACGAACCCAGCTCTGCTAAGGGTGTGGCTGCTGCAGAGACGACCAAAGAGAATTCGTTCGGTTGTGGATTGAAGTGGCCACTTACAGTTCTCCAGCTTTCTCAAAGGCAGAAGGTTGGCTTTGAAGTATATATAGTCCATCAGTAAAATGGCATTGAGCAAAAAGCTGGGGAAGAGAAGCCTGGGTGGATCCTCCGTTCAGATCTCCAACGCCATGGGTTCAGACTTGTGGGATCGGTCCTGTTCACTAGGTTCTAGTGTGCTGGGAGTAAAAAAAAAAACAAAAAACCAAACTGCAGGGAGAGGAAGAGGTGGTAACAAAGACCACACACCTACACCTGGACCACCAGGTTGTCATCTCAAACATCTCCCAGTCTATGAAAGCCTATTAAACAGGGACACATAGAAAAAGGTTTATAAATCCATTTCCTCTCATTTTATTAAAGGCTCCACTTATGTACATTTTAAAGATGAACCACTTACAAGCTTGTGCAGGTTGCCTCCTTGGCTCACAGGAGGAAACATTGCCGAAAGCCTCAGGATGGACAAGACTGGTGTGGCTGTGGGAAAGGTAGACTTGGTTTTTTGTTCTTTTTTTCTTCTATGGTACAGTACATTTTGGTTTATCACCATGAATACATCTTTTTCTTAAAAAAAAAAAAATCCCTCATGCAAATTGTAGAAAAATTTTCCTTGAAGTTGGCAGTGAAAAATAAAGATTCGTGTCTTTCTCTGTGCACACCTCTATGCTTTTTTTTTTTCCCACATCAGTTTCTTCTGAAACATTGAGAGAAATGTGGAAACCACAGGTTAGCAGGAGTTGAATTGGTCTGTGTCTTGTTCGAGTTCAACACTTAACATATGCCAGTTAGTACCTGTGATGTCTTGAGCAGGTGTGCGGTCAGGACGTGCTGAACAGGACGAAGTTCAACAAAGCCCCCGATGGGGGCTGGCTGATGGAAGACAGACTAGGGACGGCCTCCACCTGAACACTGATTGATCACCTCACCTAGGACCTCTTACTTGCTAGGGATACATGTGCTCCTTTGTGCAGAGTAAAGGACGGTGTGGAAATCAGGAAAGGGGTCAGGGTCACAAGTGCAAAAAAGATGGTTTCTGTTGTGTTTTGGTGGAGGGTGGTGAGGAAAGAAAAATCTATCCATTCTGGATGATTCAAGGAGGTTTCATGCATCTTTAAAGCCACGATTTTATATCAAGAGTTGCTGTAGAAACCAACACCTCTGGAGAAGGGAAGGGAGAAGGAAAGAGTTCAGTGGGATTCTTTTTTCATTTCCATTTTTATATAAAAGTGTTAAGACCACAATGAAAAAAATGTATCCACACATGTAATAAACCAGCTTGTGAGCTACATATTTTTTTCTTTCCAATCTGCAGAAGAGTTCTCACATTAACAATGATTAGATAGTATCATGCCCAAAGACATTGGCCATAGAATAAAACAAACAAAACCCAGAAATACTATGATACAATTGAGGTAAAAGGGGAAACAAAACAATTTAATATCTGTCCACAAAGGATTGTTTCCTAGATTTTGTCAGAAAAATAGCAAACACAGTGATTTAAATTAAAGAAGAAGGAAAAAAAGTCACGAGAACCTGTTTTTAGCAGAAGTGAGTAACCAACGGGCCAGCTCCTCAGCTCAGAAGTGATCACTACTGGCTGTCCTAATAACCCACAAATTCACAGGAAGTATCAATGTCGGGGGAGTGGTGGCATAAAATTAAAAATATAAACCAAGTACCCCACTGGTACCCCCTCTCTAAGTCCCTCTACCCTCCCCCTCAGCTTTCCTACCCAACACCGTGTGCTCTCACGACCCCAGCACCTAAATCTCCATCAGATCTAGGTCAGCTTCCTCAAAGCCATAAAAGGACTCCGTCTCACTTTCCCCCTCAAAGAGCTGGTGAAGGCTTTCGGGCTCAACTGTCTCTTCAGGAGATGACCTGGGTCGGGGTGTGGAAGCCGAGGGCTCCTCAGCCCGCTCTCCACTCAGCTTCAGCTGCTCCTCTAGGGAGGCGATGAGCTCCTCCTGCATGTCAGCGTTGCGTGTAGGTGAGTTAATGTTGCCATCAGGGCCTGGCAGGACACTAGCCACGAGGAAGGACCGCTGAACTAGCTCTGGGGAGTCCCCAATGACACCCAGCACCTCACTCAGCCAGCCCAGCACCAGCTGAAGCAGGACATCTGAATCACAGGCAGCATCTGCCATTTCCCGAGCCTGCTCCTTCCACTTTTTGTGCAGGAAGTTCTTAACAGTCCGTTTGATGCACACGTCTAATGGCTGGATTTTAGAGCTACAGCCTGCAGGGACCACCGCTGGCAAAGTGCTAGAGGCACTGAGCAGGGCCAGGACCTCTTCCGACAAGTGAGTGCGATGGCAGTCCATCACCAGCATGCCTTTGCTGTGCTGACAAGCTGCGTGCTTCTTCCACACACGGGCTGACCAGAGCTCCATGATCTCATCATCACTGTAGCCACTCTCTTTGGCCTCTAGCAATATAGAGTCCGGCACATTAGCGGGGCGATTTATTTGTCCGCGGTAGAAAACCAGGGTAGGGAGGACAGTGCCATCTGCCAGGATAGCCAGCACTACATCACACCAAGGCTCCCCTGTGCCCACTGTCTGGAGAGCATTCTCCTTTCGGTCATCACTGCTCAGTACTTCTGTGTCCAGGAACAAGGAGACCTCATCAATAGCCACAATCATAGACAAAGGTAAGTCCTGGTTGTGAATCTGCCGCTGTACAAACTCAATGAACAGTCCTGCATTTTCTGCTACATCCTTCGGTAACGCGTGGGCTACGGCTCGCCGGGCATGGGGAGTGAGGTGGTGCCGCAGCATGAAGCGCACAGCCCACTCATAGGATATCTTAAAACCCCCCTCCAAAGAGCGCCCTATTTTGGTGGCCTTCTGAAACAAGGTCTCCTCATTTACAGGGAGCTGTTGCTCTCGCTGGATCAGCACCCATTCAGCCAGTTTCTCTTCCGCCTCAAAGCTGAGGTATTTGCCCTCTAAATTCTCTCCCTGAGAGGCCTGGAAG